GAAGATAATGAGCACGGATATACTGTAGCATCTTTCAACGAATCAGAACTCAAGGACAAAGTTCAAACGTAGGCTGGAGGAACGTGAGAGAAACCACGGCTCCCTTTTCCGTCACCTTGAGTCCACGCCCGGGCGCCCGTCTCCATGGAAACCAGCCGCGCGCTTCTCAGCTCTTTCGCGTTCCTCAGAAGGCGGCGGCGGCGGCGGCGGCAGGGTTCGAGGGGGGGGGGGGCGAGCGACCGTTCTTCCTTCAGTCGCGTGAGGCCGTCCGCGCGCGGGTTGCCTCCCGTTTCTCGGAGACCCGCGCTCCACTCGCCAGGCGGCTCCGCTTCCCAGGGAGACGGTTTGGTTTCAGGGGCGGCCGCGGCGGTGGCGTTCATGTCGCGAAGGCGCGTCTCCGCCAGCCCGGAGCTGAGTTGGCGGCAGGATCAGGCGCTGGGCACAACCATGCGTATCGTGCGGGAGCTGGGCCCTACCGCTTTCGTCCTGCAGGAGGAAGACCAGAGGGCGGCGGAGCTCAGGGTAGAAGAGGGGAGAGGGAGGCGAAGGAGGCGGAGGGCAAAGAAATGGGACCCTCCTTCCCGTTTACACAGCCGGGGATGCCACGCTGGCTCGTGCGGGTGTGGGTGCCAGATTAAGTACTTATCTCTTGCAAGACGAACTGGCTCTTCTCCCCCACACACACACACCCTTCCCCGCTTTTAGCTTCACAATTAATTTTGAAACTAAAAACATACTTCTGAACATGTAGAAAGTGCCTTTTGCTCCTGTAGAGTTCCCATCTCAGTTCAACATGTTCCCTTCCCTTAGAAAAGCCCGAATGCTTGAAAGTGAAGAAAAGGATGTTCTGCCCAAACACTGCACTTCATTTTTATTTTTATTTTGCATTTAAGAGTGTCAGTGTTTTCCTTTTTCATACTCGTACAGGAAGTTCATAAACCAAGTGAAATAGTGATTATGTGCTCACTTTGGTTGATTTACGGGTGGATTGTGGTGATATTAGAGAAGGGATACTATAGTCTTCTTAGGACCACAACTGAGCCCAAAATTTCTGTTGCTAAGTGAAAAATTTGCTAAATGAGTTTTGTCCCAATTTACGACTTCTCTTGCCACAGTTGTCAAGTGAATCACTGCAGTTGTTAAGTGAATCTGGCTTCTCCATTGACTTTGCTTGTCAGAAGGTCGCAAAAAGTGCTGACATGACCCTGGGACACTGCAACCGTCATAAATATGAACCAGTTGCCAAGTGTCTGAATTCTGATTGTGTGAATGAGGATGCTGCAACGGTTGTAAGTGTGAAAATCAGTTGTAACAGTGCTGTTGTAACTTTGAACAGTCACTAAATGAACTGTTATAAGTCGAGGACTACCTGTATAAGCCTATGGCCAATTCTGTTTGCACTGGCAATACTGCTGATTTGATCTTGTTTTATTGTTCTGAAGATGTTTTCTCTCCCTGGGATGTATTCCTCTATTCACCAATCTGTTCTGGACTTTTCCTTCCGGGAGGTGGTCATCTTTGCAGCATCTTTTTATCTGTTCAATATACTATTAAAACACTGATTCCTGTCAACTTTAACTGGTGAAATGATGCACCATGGGGAAAAAACTTTTTGAACCTAGGTACCTCAAATGTCCAAAATCCAGTATCCATGACACCCATGGATTTGAAATCTCGCAAATTTTATAAAACATTTTATTATAGAAACATCATAAAGTAGTGATGACATAATACAAAAGGTTAGAAATATTTTATGTGCTGATGTTTGACTGTGTTCTACAGTTCAACATTTAACTGTATAATTTAATTCAACTGATTTAAAAATAACTTTAGTCCAACCACTCCAGGAAAAGCAAATGATTAACAAAATTAAAATGGGGGGGGGGGGGAACTTCTCTGAAATTGCTACCTTATTAACCCAAGGTTGCCTGCTGTGGCTGAAACCATCTCTGGAGATTGTTGCTTTCTTAATAAATGTGTGCATTTGATTCCCATGTGTTTGGATGTGCCTGCCTATGCGTACATACCTATCCCTAATAGAAATAACATCCTACAAAACAAAAGGCAGGGTAAAGTCAATTTTTTAAAAAGGATTAATTGAATGAGTGTCAGTGTTTTCCTTTTGCATACCCATACAGACAGCTCATAAATCAAGTGAAATAGTGATTATATGCTCACTTTCATTGATTTAGGGTTGGATTATAGCAGTATTGCTACTAGAGAAGGGATACTATAGCCAAGCAATACTGCTGATTTGATCTTGATCTGATTAAAATTAAAATAAGGTTTGCTATATGTAAAACTAATTGATTACTCATGTGCAATTACTGCTGTTTGCTTTCACGTGCATGAGCCACAAATATTTTTCTTTTCACTGAAGCCCTGTCACTTGACGTAGTATTTGTCACTGTATAGTCATTCCATAAATCTCCTTGCTTTTAATATCCTCTCATCATCCCAGCCCAACTGATAGGCTTACAGAGATGTATCTATTACCCCATTTAGTGAGAGAATGCTGCTCCATGCAGAAACACGCACCTGCTAGTAGTTGAAAGGAAAACTCCCTATTGGACTTCTTGCATTGCATTGTGTAGCAAACTTGCTCATTTCTTTTTCTTCTGCTGCAAGTTAAGGTGCCTATTGGGATCCTATCACATTATTTTTGTGAGTTCTTTTTCTTTTTTTGCTAAATATAAACTGTTTTCTGCTGCCAGTTTCGTTTCTCTTCAGGGACAGTACTAGTTGCTCTATTCTCCATACTCGCAAGGGATAAAGCTATACATCTTGTGTCATAAAACTTTAGTCATATATCAAACTTCTCAAGTATAGGCTTAGCCAAATTTAAAAGTATTAAAAATATCATTCACATTTTCTCCATTAGGCATATTCCGGTTTCCTTATCGATGAGCAGCTTCAACTCACATTTTGAAATTCTGTTAACACAGGTAGTTCTCGTTTTACAACTAGCCAGATAGCGACCATTCAAAGTTATGACAGACCTACCTGGGGGCTAGTTATGACCTGGATTTGAAGTTTCGGCAGTCACACTCCCCACTTCACATAACCAAATTTTGTGCATTCAGCAGCCAAACCACATAACCCTAATCATTTGCAGCGTCCCCGGTCTCATGAGTGCATTTTACCTCAGTTTTGCTAAAACTGTCATTTACATCCATTGGTGCGCTTAACAATTGTTTTAACTTGACTATCCTCAAAAAGGTCATAAAATTGAGTTGGTCACATGACCGACCTGTTTTATGACTCACAACTTAAAACCATGATGGGTAGGCTCCATTATCGTTGTAAGTCAAGGACTACCTGTATGAGATTAAAAACTTAAGTTGCAAGGTACTATATATATTCCCTACTTGCAGTATAAAATGATTTAAAAGTTGAAAGAAAAAGAATAGAAATAGTCTACGTCTTCTATATAATACACACAGAGCAAAAGTGAGACAATGAACAATGCTTTTCAAATGGGAATTTGATATATGTCACAACATTTCTAGTCTGCAGGCAAAATTTCCCATGCTGATGGGAGTATCTGATCAATCTGATCTGATTTTATTTTTACGCTTTAATAGTTAAAATCTATGATTCATAATGTGGAGTGCACACCCTAATCATTGAAGCAAACCTGTATATATGTTCTTATAAGGGCCATAGTGGCACAGTGGTTAGAATACAGTACTGTAGGCTAATTCTGCTGACTGCTGATTACCAACAGTTTGGCAGTTCAATTCTCAGCCTTCCATCCTTCCGAGGTCAGTAAAATAAGGACTCAGATTGTTGGGGGCAAAATGCTGACTCTGTAAACCGCTTAGAGACGGCTGTAAAGCAGTATATAAATCTAAGTGCTATTGCTATTGCTTATAGCTTTTCAGAAGTGCATTTGATGTCATTAATGGTCTCCTGTTATCTTTTCCTTCTGTTTCATTGAGTGATATTGATATCATCATATATTTGAAAGTATGTGAATATAAATAGATTTTTCTGAGAAATAGTCCATTAGAAGAGAAATAATTGTTACACTATTTCTAGCACTATTAGTTCTGTTTTCTAGTACTATTTTAGATACACTATATAGATAATATGAGTAAAATAGACATGATTTTAGTAAATACTGTCTTTCCGCATCTTAGTTTTCATTGTTCTCCATTTTATAAATGCTGTGGCATAATTATTAAACATGTTTTCTGTTGTTTTGGTATAAGGTTTCCCTGGGGAACCCTCATTCGTGCAGCTGCTCAGTATTTCTGAAAGAGAAGGACCTTTGTAAACATATCTGCTGGTAAATTATTTTTATTAAAATGTAAAATGATAAAAAATTATCATTCTATATTTGGTGTGCATTCTGCAGTGCCTCTTAACGTTATTCAGCTTTTTAAAAGTCAGATATTATTCTGCCACCAGGGAGGGAGGAATCAAGATAGGATAAAATAGATAAAAGGACAAAAGAAGATAGGAAAGGAAAGGATGCTGAAAGATGAGAAAAACATTAAGAAGAAGATAGAGGCAAATTATAAGGTTTTCTTCTAGAAAGTTTTAGGTTGATTTTTTTTTAGCATTGGAAGACAAAATGCTCAGGGAATTCATTCAGGACTCAGAGGCACTTTTGGAAATAAAGATAATATTGAAGGTCTGGCACTTTGCAATATTCCATTTTTATTTTTCTTTAATTTAAAAAAGGGATATGGGAGTATGCATGTACCAAAAGAGGAAATATCTGGTTTGGAAATTCAGTTAAATGTGTGCATAAGGAGAACTCCTAAACACCCATCAGGGAAAAGAGAAGACAGCATAAACCAAATACAAGTTAAGGAGGAGGGTCAAATAATTCATCATTTTGTTTGCTATGGGTTACAAGATACAATAAGAAATATGAATGACAGTTGTAAGCAAATACGTTTTACTAAATTTCATGCAGATGGTATGCACCTTTAAGGAATTATAGGGAACTGTCTGGCATTTTTTCATAACTGAGCTTATGTCTGTATGTCTTTAAAAATTGAAAAGCCAACTGCATTTAAATCGTAAAGTTACTGAATAAATTGTATTCAATTTGTTCTTTTATTTTTAGGTTATTACTAAAAAAGTTCAAACTTCCAAGAGACCATGAATGTAGGTATAGGTTAATCTTGTCCTTTTATTTTCTGTTTGGAACTCATTGCATGGAACATTTGTTTTTGTATTTGTATCCCCCAGAAACCCCATCTCTATTCCCCGTCACTCAGATGGTCATCCCATAGCTGGCAGTGGGCAACCAGGATTGCTGGGAGAGAGGGCAAGAATTTCCAACAAAGAAATGTATTGTATATCTTAGGGCTTCATTATACATATTAACGTTATTTTTTTCTTCTTCAACAGATGCTTTACAGATTGGTTTGTTAGAACGAGAAATTAACTATCTGCTTCAGAATCCACAACTTGTCCCCCAAGTAAAAATAATTGCCCATTCTGTTAAGAAATTGATAACAGTTGATGATGGGTATGTTAAACAAAAAAGTATTGACAATGAGGATATATGTCCTGTTTGCCAGGATATGCTACTCAAAAAAATGCTTCCTGTCACTTATTGCAGGTGAGTTCCTGTTGGATTTTAATTGCTGGGAGATAGTATCATATTTGTAATCATGCAGTTTGACTGATGGCATTTTCTTACATTTTCTTATACATTTGCAAGAGATCATGTTTGGGAGGAGTTTTAGGATGCATATCGCTGCCTCATGTCCATAATTCCACTTTGCTCCAGTAGAGGTGTTCCATGTGTCACTGAGCAAAAACTTGCAGCTCTCCTCAGGATGGCCTTGTTTGGCAGGCACTGCTGCTGTGAGTTTGGCAGCAACATCTGGAAAAACCACAAATTGATCCCTGGGTAGGCTGCTTGATATTTGGACCCACAGTTTTCAGGCTCACAAATACATCTAGTACTCTGTGAGAGTTTTAGTGATATTTCTCTTCCTGCAGGTTAGATTTTTTTTTATGTAAACAGCAATCCATGTTGGTTTTCAGGTTACTGTAGGACAGTGGTGGGATTCAGCCGGTTCACACCACTTCGGTAGAACCGGTAGCTAATTTTTTTGTTGCCCAGGCCCAGAATGGACTTCCGGAAGCGACATCCACACAGAGAACCGGTTGTTCACATATTTGAATCCCACTATAGCTGTAGGATCTATTTTCTAATTCTATTCAGATTAGCCTGAAAACTCATGATTATCAAATTGATGCTGGCTGTGAAAGCACTGCATCACTATTAATAATTGTTTCTTTTTCTAAGTAGATAAATAGGTAAAGTATTCTTTTTTATTTGGAATTCAAACTTTTAACTTTTCTTCATTAGAAGCAGTCTATGATTCTTTAGTTACCAAATACACACAAATTTAAAAAAGCATTTAAGCATCTTTGATAAAACTGTGTTATCTTCTTTTTGCTTTTATACAAAACAAACAGGATTTCTAAAAT